TTGAATCTTTATTATATGTTGAAATATTCGACTATATTAATCTAAAATTATCAGAAAAACAACATGGATCCATTTCAAAAACATCAACTCTGACAAACCTATTAGGTTTTTCACAATCAATCAATGAAGAGATCTATAACAATGGTCAGATAGATGTCATATACACAGATTTAAAGGCGTTCGATAAAGTTGACCATGATATAATTCTCAGTAAGTTTTCTGAATTGGGATTTTCTAATAATTTGTTGAAACTCTGTGCATCCTATCTCGAAGATCGTCAACAGTATGTAGTATATAAAGGAGGTACATCTGATAAGTACTTTACAAATTCAGGAGTACCACAAGGGCCAAACTTAGGGCCTATATTTTTCTTGTGCATGATAAATGACCTACCGGATATTCTTGAAACTTCTGAATGCCAATTATTTGCTGACGATTCAAAGGTTTATGCCAAAATCGTCAATGAATCAGATTGTGAAAACTTACAAAAGGATATTAACAGAATGATGCCTTGGTCTGAAAATAACAACCTTTACTTCAATGTTGGGAAATGTTTCTCCGTAACATCTACTAGAAAGAAAAATATAGTGGACTTCACATACAAACTGACTGACACAGCCTTACAAAAATAACTGGAGCTATGGATCTAGGTGTTTATTTGGATAATAAATTGAACTTCAATACACATATAAACGGGCGTACAAACTACTTGGATTTATAATAATAAATTCTTGCAAATTCAATGACTTAAGAACATTGTGTTTCTTCTATAATGCTTATGTAAGAAGCATATTGGAATATGCTTCTGCAATATGGTCTCCTTTTTACGAGCGTCATAAAAACGAATAAAAGAAGGTCCAACAGAAATTTTTGAGGTACCTATATTATAAAAAACACAAAGTGTATTATTTCGATATACCATATAAAACTTTATTGAATGTGTTTAAATTAATTAAATTAGAACATAGAAGGGAAAAAGCATCTGTACTATTCTTGCATAAATTAGTTAATGGACAAGCCATTTGCCCGGTAATTTCAAGAAAGTTAGTTCTTTCTCAAGTACATTATGTTAACTCATTAGCGCCCTGATTATTATTTTTTTCTGTCTCCTATCATCATTTCCTCTTGTGAAAATATTCAAAAATACATAATAAGTCTGAAAAAGATATCAGAAAAATTATTAACAAGTTAGTTTTCGAGATATCTGATGTTTCCATATGTCAACACTGGGCGCCCATGATAAGTAAAATATCGAATTAGGTGACTTGATGGGAAATATAGATTCCAGTCTTCGATTCATGAAAGGCAGCTGAAGTACGATTTATTTTCATCAGGAATTTATTCGTGAACTCAAATGACAAACGAAAATAGTGAACTAACGTAGGTGAAAAGGCCTGAAACAGTTCATACAACATCGCACTTCGCACACATGGTTCTGGCGATTGATTTAAATGTACTTGCAGCGCACCGTCTCTTCTTATTTTCCTGTGTTTGTTGGACGAAGTGGTCAGTTCGATCGAATCTGATGTCATTTGATATTGGGCTATCAAGAAGATTCTATAGAAGCTGTTCTTCTCCCAGTTCTTCAAGGAAGAATTTGATATTTTTTCAAGTATACATTGACAGCTGGGCTGGTGGCCGTGAGCGTAGAGTCGCTGGCTGTTGCCCAGGCGGTCCGGGTTCGATCCCCGGCGCGAGCACTGAATTAATTTTCGGTAGTTTCGTTGGGCGGGAGGAGATAGGTGGCCAACCCAACATTCTTGGTACCTAGATATCAATCCTTTGGACTGTCCACGGTTACCAGCCGAGTAGTGCTTCGGATGACACTTAAAAAGCTAAGGTCCCCGTCTTCTTAACTCACACAAGTCTCTGACTTTCGAGGGTTGCTTTGCAACTAAGCTGGCGGTTAAAAACACTTTTAACACACTTTTTTTTTTTTTTTTAAAAAACACTTTTAACTATTTTTCTTCTGAAATCTAATTGCGACACTTTTTCTTCCCGAGATTTGTTATACAATAGCCAACTGTTTTGCATCGCTACGTCTAAGAGCCAAGTATCATTTCTTGCCCCTGACTCCTATTCGATAGCATGCTAAATCTTGATCCATTTGATCAGTTCCCCCCATAAATTTGTTATATTTTGCGATAGCGAATGGCCGTGGAATCATTATATTACGCTTTTGCTGCTGAGTACATCCATCTGCTGTAAAGATGACCATCTGTTTTTTCTACAGCAGTTTCAAAAGTACCACGGGTTATTTTTGCGAACACTTTTTTGTTTATTATAGGGCATTGAGCTGGAATTCGGTTTTCCCGTTTTGTGCCAATAGCAGAGTATCCTCTGAATCTCAGGAAGGAATATAGTACAGGATTTGAAAATAAATTGTCCATATAAAAATGATATCGTTGATCTCTTTTTATTATCAATGGAAGTTCATCCATCATTAACAGCAGTGGACTCGCAGCTTTACCAAACAAGATATCATATTGCGCAACTGCTTTGGAACTCTTTTCCTGATAGAGGTCGAAATTTACTAGGTAGCCATCTTTTGTATTGATGCTCCATACTTCATTACCGAATCTCACTGGCTTGCCCCTGATGAATTGTTTGCAGCTATGCCTACCATAATACTTCACCATGCTTTCGTCATAAGATAGGTCTCTTTCTGGGATGAAATTTTTCATGCATTTTCCTTTCAGCATTTCCATAAAAGGCCTAATTTTCCATGCTCTATCCATTTCATCCATTTTCGTGTTATCCGTACAATGTATAAATCGACAAATCTCCAGAAAACGGTTACGGCGCATCGCATGGAAGACAACTGTATTGCGCATATCGTCACCGGAGTCCCAGTGGTTCCTCTTAGAAGGAAGATTGTTGTAGCCACTGACGAATAGAATGGCGATAAAACAACAAATTTCATTACTAGAGATTTTTTGATCCAGCCAGTTCAAGAACAAAGCATATCGTCGGCTCTCATTCACTAAATAGTCTATAATATCCGCATCGATAAAATGTTCGAATATATTCAGAATAGTTTGCTTGAGGAAATATGGAATTTTCTTCAAGAACAAAATCTGCACCCAACTCCCAGGTTCGTTTGAAACTTTTTTTGCCAACCAATGTTTCACATTTTCGTTCAACAGAGTTGACGCAGTGTAATACCTACGCCGTCACCAAACGAAATGACAAAGCCGTCACCAAACGAAATATACAGAGGGGTTCCTTCACCACGAGGGTGATGTACCAATCTGCTACCCTCCAGCTCCCAGATAAGGCTACGGCTTCGGCTTCCTGCGTCCTAAGGGCTGTAGTGGATTCGTGCCCCCTATGAATGGTTCAAGGGGTCTTTTTTGGATCACTGGGGGGAGAGTTTATGGGTGGTCATGTGATACCTCTTTAGCAGTTACGGCAGAGTAGACTCGCCGCTAATGGCTGATATTTCTCTTCACGGGTTTGATTTCTGAAAGAAAAAACTGAATGCGATTCTACAAGTTTAATAAAAAAATATGGAACGAAAGTAGGCAAGTTATTCAGAGTTAAGTAGCTCAATTGGGAGACAAAACTAAACAAAAAAAATCTTCTCATGCTACACGCAGCGTACAAAGAGCTAGATTGACTTTGAACTAATTCTAATACCGGGCAGTAAAGAATGGTAAAATTTCGATTGTTTTCTGGCCAATATAAACGTGCGAGTCTACGATATCTTGATATTCAAATTTTGCCATCAATTGCACCGAGAAAAGGGCCAGACGCCGTTTATATGTACCAGTAACCAAAACTACCCGGTGTAGGGTGGCAACGTACATACAGTACTGGTAGATAGTACATATAAAAGAATCTGGGATCAGAAAATCAAATGCAAATGTATTAGTCACGAAAATGTCAAAAGACTTACCGATTCTGCGACGTCGTCGTCTCAGTTTTTTTTTTTTTTTTTGATCTCGAGACACTCCCGGATTCAACACGAACGAAACTACCCTGATACTTAAAAATGACTCTTTTTTCTAACGCGACCACTTCGCGATTCCTTCGCCGGACCGACCTGATTTGCCCAAAATCTGGTCGCTGACTGTTCCAGTTATTTTTCGTTTTTCAATCTCGACAATTTTTGGTAGCAGCATTGCGTCAGCCGTAGCTACCAAAAATTGAACAACAGTTCTTGCTGAACTTGCATCTTTATATTATTTTATTGGGTCGATAATGCGAATTGTTTAGCTATCTTGATTTCGCCAGGAGCGCGTAATTGCCGATCAGTAAGGTTATCAACCAACCTACCAATGTAATAATAATTATTATTTATATTTAAGTCATGGAAACCATCTATTCTCAAAGTGGTCCGGTATTTTTCAACAGGAGAAACCACGAACTCAAAGTCGGTCGACCACAATATTCAATATCAAAAATATAATCAGTGTGACTATAGTTTATGCTCTACGGCTATCTTCAGATACAATTGAGGAGTACCTAGAAAGTAATAAGTATTACAGGTGTTGACCAACATGGTGGCTCAGAAAGAGATAACATACCTGTTATGTGGAAAAACATCTTAACAATAAAAAAAATGTATCAGTAATAATCGGATCGTTATAATAATCAGCCCAGCCTGACAATCAACAAGCTCTGTAACCGCTGTAAAGCCGAAAGAACATAACAATAAGTAAGTTCAACATCAGGAAAAGGAATTTATTGGAAATCTACTCAAGTGAGGTTCATCTGAATGCAATCAAACCATCAAAGGAAAGACACAGAAATGTAAAAATTGAAAGTGGTAAGTTGACATTGACAAGACAATATTGACAATTTCAAACACAGAATGAAAAATTATGACTTCACGCACCACTGATATTCTGAAACCACACAAACGAAACTTATCACGTCTAGAATGCGACTGCTGTTATAGATTCGACGAATGGTATATTGAGTATCGTGTAGAGTCCCCACCGTTACTTCAAATTGTGACCTTTTCAGGATTTTGTTGGAAATAGAAAAACTATAGTCTATCGTTTTGTAGTTACTATAGTTTTTATGACGTTCTTTCTGAACGTTGAAGCCATTTGTGAAACGGAACAGAATCCGTTGAAGTGGAATGGCTGAGGAAGATCTCTCCGATCATTCCTGTTGTCGACCCACTCTTGTGGGATAACGTTGAACATCGACCATGATCGGTGTTCATTTGCAACAGAAACTTTCATCAGTTGCTGTGCAAAGAAGACGCCTGAGCCAAAGATTGATTCTGACTCTTTGTTTAGACATCTTGGTGCCAATTCGCCTAGCAATGCCGATTGCTCAGCATTATCAGCGGTTAGCTGTGGAATCTCAAATATGATTTGAGATTGGGCTCCTACCTCAGTAAGAGTGGAGAACACCGTATCGGTATTCTTGAATGTCTTAGTTTTCGCTAAAACATTAGAGATTTCGATTAACAAATCAATGTTAAACGCGTAGTTATTTGGATAACTCGGGAACTCCAAATCAGTAATGCCTTGTTCAAAGGCAAGATTCTTGGGTTCGGGTCTTCGATGGCCCAGCGGTCGAAATCCTAGCAGATTTCGATTGGGTTGCTGTCCGTTGAAGGTCACGTTGGACTGATACCTACCTGGGCCTGCGTTAGACAGTGACTGTCTGATGGCTTCGGCGAGTACGCCCATACATGGAATCTCTTCGTAGAGATTATGACGTTGGTTGTTAACGTTTCGGCCTGGATTGACGAGGGCACCGTAGTATCCTCCGAATCCGGCGAGGCGTGCCACTGGTAGTGGTGGAAACTGTGGGTAGAGATGAATCTTGTTCATCGTCAGGTTGTTTCCCAGTGAACGCAGTACCAATGTGATGGGTTCGGGTATCACAAAGGATGTGGTTTACACCAATGTGAGAAGGTCGCGTTCAGGAATGGTCAGTTTCTGGGTGTTCTTCTCCTTTAGATGCACGATGCGAAGCCAAAGCATGGCAGTCGCATAGTAGTCAAGGTACTCGGGGAGTAGCACCTTGGCTAGAGCGGCATCATCGGTGATAAGCTCAGCATATGTTTGCCGAGATATCTCGATGAGTGCGAGAGCAGACGGGGAGAAGGTTCTCCTGGATGCTACTTCTCTAACGGCCATGCCGGTTAAGAATATAGCCGCGTCAATTTGCCATATATATGAGAAAAATTTGAATATACAGGGTGATCCACGTTTGAGTTATGACATCCGCGACCATTTTTTCAAATGGAACACCCTATATAATATCATTCAATTTTCGAAATCTCCATGAAAAGCAGGATTCAAAAATATATCATAGGGTTTGTATTTGTATACAGTGCGTCCGTTAAATAAAGTGCTCTCGTAAAGTAGTGGATCAACTCATTTTTAGCCAGACCATCGACTTCTGAGGAATCTCCTGGAACAGATCGAGTTTGATTCTCAATTTACCACATTATTCATATGGGAAATTGGATATACAGGGTGATCCACGTTTGAGTTATGACGTCCGCGACAGTTTTTTCAAAAGAAACACCCTCTATATTATTCAATTTATGAAGCCACTATGATAAGATGATTTCCAAAATAAATCGCACATAGAGTTTGAATACAGTGCGTCTGTTAAATCCAGTTCTCTCGTAAAATGGGGTTGCCATTAAATGCCTATGAAGTATAGTAATTCATACACGAATCATTCTGTAGATATTGAATGAATTTGGAAGAATACCCGAATGGAAATAAAATTCGAAGGCTTCGAGGGTTTTTTAAAAAAATTATTAATTCAATTTTCAACGAACGAGAGCCCTCAAATTAACGGACGCATTGTATATAAACCCTATGTGTAATATATTCTTGAATTCAGCTTCTCATGGAGATTCGAGAAATTTGAAAATATATAGGGTATTCCATTTGAAAAAATTGTCAATTGACATTCACAACTCAAACGTGGATCACCCTGTATATTAAATTGAGAATCGAACTCGGTCTGTTTCAAGAGATTCCTCAGAAGTAAATGGTTTGGCTAAAAATGAATTTATCTACTACTTTACGAGAACACTTCATATGACGGACGCACTGTATACAAACCCTATGTGTAATATATATTTGAATTCAGCTTCCCATGGAGATTTCAAAAATTTAATAACATATAGGGTGTTCCATTTGAAAAACTTTTCGCAGACGTCATAACTCAGACGTATCACCCTGCATATTCAATTTTTCCCATGAACATGGCAAATTGAAAATGAAAATCGACCTGTCAGGAAATTCTTCAGATATTGATAGTTTGGCTGAAAATGAAATTATTCTGTACTTTACGAAAGCACTGTATATTGTTCATTTTCAAATAAGGGTGATATTTCATGACTTTCTAATGAAAAGAGGCCTTATTATTAATTCACAAATCAAATCACTGACCTGTGCCAACCAAGATGCATACAAACCTATCAGAAAAATCTGAGAAGACAAAACTTTCCATCTACCTTTGGATTTTTCATATTATTGACTCTTTCATATTATTATTCAAACTTACAATTGCTTCCGATATCAACAGATGGTCCTGCATTTAACAACAAATTCCCGTTATCTGTGGATATAAAAATTTCCAATTATATTATATGTATTATGATGTCCCACATCATTAGACTTGCAAATTATCATTTTCCTTACCAGCAGAAGTTCCTGTATTCATTGAAAAAATTCCATCCAGGTCATTATGTAATGTTTCAATAATAGAGCTTTCCATATTTATGTCAATATCCATATCAGAGGAGGTTTCTGTATTCCTCAATAAAATTCCATTTTCATCATTATCTACTGGATCATTGACAGGGCATTCCAAATTGGAATCCATGTTATTGTTATCAAAATGGAGATTTGGTTGAATAACATATGTTATGTTGGGAGAAATATCTAATGATTGGCCATCTAAAATAACTTCATAGGAGTAACTATCATTCCCTTTGTTTAAATCAGCATTCACATATTGCTGTTGGTGATTTAGATTATTGCTCATATCACCACTGATTTCACCTGAAAAAAAAATGTTGAAAAGAAGAAATTCATTCAATAAAATTCTTTTTTAAATTATATCTTTGTTAAGATACGCCAATTTCTGTCCCGACTAAACAAAATTCAACTTCGAAATTAGGAAGAGAAGCACTACTGATGTATTTACACTCCTCTCATTCTATATGAATTGAAAGATTGAAGTCTGAGAAAAGCTTGACCTCGAAAATAAAAAATTCCAATGAAATCAAATATGCACATAAGCAAACTCTCTATGCTTCTGTATGTTACATGTTAGTAAACTTACAAATATTATTGTCTTCAATATAACCGATTGTTTTGGGATCCCTCAAAAACAATCCATTTGTATCTACTGGATCCATATTTGAATCCATATCATTGTTGTCAGGATGGAGATGTGGTTCCTCCATATAGAAGTTACAACCATTCCCACAATCTTCAGCTGAAACAGAAAAAAAACGTGGAAATGAAGAAATTCATTGTCATTTAGGTACATTATCAAATTTTGAAAAACTAATATTGGTGTGGAGATCCAGAGATTTAGGTCCCAACTCAAAAAAAATCAAATTCAAGATTAGAAAGATACACTGATGCATTTGTACTTCTCTAGTACTTATTTAATACTTATTTATAATAATTCTCTGATTGAAGATTGAAGTGTGAAAAAAGCTTGATCTCAAAAATAATAAATAATCTCAATGCAACCAAATACACACATCATCAACCTCTCTCATGCTTCTACATGTTAAATATTAGTCAACTTACAATAATTAGTATTGTCATCAGATGTTTCTGTATTCCCCAGAACAATTTCATTTCTAGCAGTGTCTACTGGATCATTGACAGGACATTCCATATTTGAATCCATGTCATTGTTATCAGGATGGAGATCTGGTTCATTAAATGAACCAGCATAATATATCAAATTCACATAGAGATCTTTATTATTCAGATCATTGCAAATATCAGTGAGCACACTCTTGTCAGCTGAAAAAAAAAATGAAAATTGAAAAATTAATTATTATTCAAGATAATTATAATTTGGAAAAATAGTCTTGGCAGCTGCAAAAAAAGAGCCAGATATTAGCCAAACCGTCAGATATACAAAAAAAATTCAAATACAACAGTTATAGGGTTTCATGAGAACTATCACCTAAAATTATTTTCATATCTATATCGATATCGACCCCGAAAACCCCCAGATACCAATTTTGGATAGAATCGCATCATAATTACAAAACTTGTCCGCCATCTTGAATTTACAAGTTCACGAAACAATCATAATAACCTTCCACGAAAACCCCCAGATACCAATTTTGAATAGAATCGGATCATTCTGCTATGGCATTGCTCCACTGCTAATTCATTTTAGTTCCGAAATAGGACATAGTATACAGGGTGACTCACGGTCGATGGTAGGTTAGACGTTTATGGAGAACGGGACATAGGATCATTCTGAAATTTTGGTTACTCAAGTAGTTGCTCGTGGTCTATCGATCTGAAATATTATTAGATCTTCGGCGTTGCCGCTTCTATCGAAAAGTAGCAGCAACTTTGTTATTTTGAATGAAACACCCTGTATTTCACTTGGTATTTCATTACATTTCCAGGTTCTCTCTGGAGATCTGATTTCATCGATGTATCACACTTGGGGTCTAGCGGCAATGATTACAGAGATATAGGGTCAGAAAAATCGACATTTCGAATTTTTTTTCGAAACTATTCTTTATTGGTCAAAACGGCTCACATGTCCTTATCTTAACTTTTGGTTACCTATCTACTGAAATTTGATTGAAACAAATACAGGGTGATGCAGAATTCAGAATTTTGATCACCCGGTATCTGTCCCAATTAAATGTCAGTAGATAGTTGATCAACAGTTGAGATAGGGACATGTGAGCCGTTTTGACCAATAATGAATACTTTCGACAAAAAAATTCCTAAAGTTGAAAAATGTCGAATTTCCACACCCTATATCTCTGTTATCATTTCCGTTAGACTCCAAGTTTGATACATAGATGAAATCAGCTTTTCAGAGAATCTGAAAATTTTATAAAATACAGGGTGCTCCATTCAAATAACAAAGTTGTTGCTACTTTCCGATAGAAGCGGCAACGCCGCAGAGCTGAAAATATTTTAGATCGATAGACCAAGAGCAACTACTTGAGTAACCAAAATTTCAGAATGATCCTATGTCCCGTTCTCCGTAAACGGCTAACCTACCATCGACCGTGATTCACCCTGTATAGTTTATCTAGAGATTTTGGTGAAAAATTTATGAACGTACCTACATCGATTATTAAGAAAGAAGAATAGAATAAAATAGCGTTTCTGAGTTGATGGAAATAACGTGGCGAGGATATTTGACAACGTTGCATGCAAAATCTATATTTCATTTTCAACAGTCCACAAGTTACAAAGAGTGGCCAGAAAATCGTGGTAATCTTCTCATCAAATAATTTATGATAAGACGCATTCAATTTATATTTCAATCACCCTGAATACCTATTACTTTTCTGAATTCCGGCATACTTTAACTGTGTCACTGTGTTGCTGAATTCACTAACATGGATCTTCATCAAATGATGGACTGTTCAACGAATCACATCAAATGTTCAAATTATGGACTGTTCAACGAATCAAATTCAGAGTATTTTTCAAATAAATCAATCAATGCAAAGTAGGTGACCTTGATGGACCACTGTTGAACTTAGCAACACGGTGCATCAAGTGCACCTATATACCCAGTTTCATCCAAATATGTCCTCACGACGTGATAGCGAGAAATACAAAATTCTGTTAAA